GGCGCGGCCCACGCCCCCGGCGGCCCCGCGTCCGCCGCCTCGTCGTCCGACTCTATGCAGATGAAGTCCGCGGGCGCCTCCTCCTCCGCCTGGCAGCCGGCCGCCGGCAGCGGGCGGCCGTCGCGCGGCGGCAGCGGGCGGCCATCGTCGCGCGGCGGCAGCGGGCGGCCATCGCGCGGCGGCAGCGGGCGGCCGTCGCGCGGCATCGCGGCGGCCGCCCGCTCGGGGCGGCCCCCGGCGGCGGCTCCGCCGCTGCGCCCCGCGGGCGCAGAGCGCGCTGGCGCTTGAGCCAGGGGGGGCTACGGACTGGTGGGGTTATTTTTTGATTCGCGGCCCGCAAGGAAAAGTCCAGAGGGCGGTAAGAACGAGGCTGGGACGGCAGCGCACGGGAAGCAGATAATTAACGGCGCAGCACTACTGGTGGGGTTACGCGAAGCGTCTAGAATTGGTACGGTGGAGCCACGCGAGCCCTCACATTGGAGCCTTCGTGTGAGGGGTCTGCCGACATGGGTGCGGTTGCGCCACGCGAGCTCTGCCACTGGGGCATTCAGTGGAGCTCCCTATGGGGCAACGAAATGCGTGAGGGGTGTGCCGGAACGGGCGCGGTGGCGCCATGCGAATCCTCCAACAGGGGCCTCCAGTGGAGCTCCCTACGCGACAGCGAAACGTGTGACTGCTGGGGCCGTCTGTGCAGCACCCTATGGGGTCATGAAACGTATGAGGAATGTGCCGAATAGGGGCGGTGGCGCCATGCGAACCCTCCAACCGGGGCCTTCGGTGGAGCTCCCTATGGAGCCACGGAACGTGTGAGGGGTGTGCCGACAAAGGCGCGGGAACGCCATGCGAACCCTCCCAATGGGGCCTTCGGTTGAACTCCCGATGGAGCCACGAAACGTGTGACCCGTGTGCCGAAAGGGATGCGGTGGCGGTACGCGAACCCTTCCACTGGGGCCTTCGGTGTAGCTCTCTCTGGGGCCACGAATCGTGTGAGGGGAATGCCGAAATCGCTGCGGTGGCGCCATGCGAACCGTGCCACTGGGGCCTTCGGTGGAGTTCCTTACGGGGCCACGGAACATGTCATGGGTGTGAGGAAACGGCTGTGGTGGCGCCATGCGAACTCTCCCACTGGGGAAACCGATGGAACTCCCTATGGGGCCACGAAACGTGTGAGGGATGTGTCGAAATGTGCGCGGTGGCAGCATGCGAACCATCCAAATGGGTTTTTTTGTGGAGCTTCCCATGGGGCCACGAAACATGTGAGAGGTGTGCCGAAATGCGTGCGGTGGCGCCATGCGAACCCTGCCACTGGAGCCTCCCACTAGGCCCCCTTTATGGGGCCACAAAACGTGTGAGGGTGTGCAGTGGCGCCATGCGAGCCATCCCAACGGGGTTGTTGGTGGAAATCTCCATGGGGCCACAAAAAGTGTGAGGAGCGTGCCGACAAGCAAATGATGGTGGTGGTAGTGATGCTGCAGCAGGGATATGAGGAATGGGCAGCGGGAGGGAGGCGAGGTGAGGTGACGCGGGGCGCTGTCTCTTCAAAACGAGGACCCAACACCGCAGGATGGATGCGAACAATGCAGGACACATGTTGCCTCTAAATCTGGCGCTTGCGCGGGCACCCCGCGACCATTTTGCAGTGGTCATTGTTTTGTCTGTTGCGCGCAAGCCAAACATCCCCGTCAAACTATCCGTGCGCAGGACCCAGCCATATGCGTGTGTGAGTGTCGCAATTGTGCGCCCCGCCTTCGGTGGAGCTCCCTATGGGGCAACGAAATGCGTATGAAGGGTGTGCCGATATGAGTGCGATGGCGCCATGCGAACCCTGCCACTGGGGCCTTCGGTGTGGCTACCTTTGGGGCCACGAAGCGTGCGACGGGTGTGCCAGAATGCGAGCGGTGGCGCCATGCGAACCCTGCCACTGGGGCTGGGGCCTTCGATGGAGCTCCTGATGGGACAACGAAACGTGCGAGAGATGTGCCGCAATGGATGGTAGCGCCATGCGAGCCCCGCCACTGGGCCCTTGGTGGAACTCCCCATGGGGCCACGAAACGTTTGAGGGGTGTGCCAGAATAGGTCCAGTGGCGCCATGCGAGCCCTGCCACTGGGGCCTTCGGTATGGCTACCTTTGGGGCCACGAAACGTGCGACGGGTGTGTCGAAATGGGCGCGGTGGCGCCACGCAAACCCTCCCACTGGGCCCTTCGGTGGAGCACTTTTTGGGGCCACGAAACGTTTGAGGGGTGTGCCGGAATAGGTGCGGTGGTGCCATGCGAGCCCTGCCACTGGGGCCTTCGGTGTGGCTACCTTTGGGGCCACGAAGCGTGCGACGGGTGTGCCGAAATGCGGGCGGTGGCGCCATGCGAACCCTGCCACTGGGGCTGGGGCCTTCGGTGGAGCTCCTGATGAGACAACGAAACGTGCGAGAGATGTGCCGCAATGGGTGTGGTAGCGCCATGCGAACCCTCCCACTGGGCCCTCCGGTGGAGCTCCCCATGGGGCCACGAAACGTTTGAGGGGTGTGCCGGAATAGGTGCGGTAGCGCCATGCGAACCCTGCCACTGGGGCCTTCGGTGTGGCTACCTTTGGGGCCACGAAACGTGCGACGGGTGTGCCGAAATGCGGGCGGTGGCGCCATGCGAACCCTGCCACTGGGGCTGGGGCCTTCGATGGAGCTCCTGATGGGACAACGAAACGTGCGAGAGATGTGCCGCAATGGGTGCGGTAGCGCCATGCGAGCCCTGCCACTGGGCCCTTGGTGGAGCTCCCCATGGGGCCATGAAACGTTTGAGGGGTGTGCCGGAATAGGTGCGGTGGCGCCATGCGAGCCCTGCCACTGGGGCCTTCGGTGTGGCTACCTTTGGGGCCACGAAGCGTGCGACGGGTGTGCCGGAATGCGAGCGGTGGCGCCATGCGAACCCTGCCACTGGGGCTGGGGCCTTCGGTGGAGCTCCATATGGGACAACGAAACGTGCGAGGAGGGTGCTGAAATGGGTGCGGTAGAGCCATGCGAGGCGTGCCACTGGGCCCTTCGGTGGAGCCCCCTTTTATGGGGCCACGAAACGTGTGAGGGTATGCCGACATGTGCACGGTGGCGTCATGCGAACCCTGCCACTGGGGCCTTCGGTGGGACTCCCTATGAGGCCACGAAACGCGTGAAGGGTGCTGAAATTAATATGGTAGCGCCATGCGACCGCAGCCATTGGGGCCCTCCGTGGAGCGCCCTACGGGGCCACGAAACCTGCAAGAAGTGTGCCGAAAAAGGGCGCGGTGGCGCCATGAATACTGCCACTGGGGCCGTCGGTGGAGCTCCCTTTAGGGCCATGAAACGTGTGAGAAGTGTGCCGAAATGGGCGCTGTGGCGCCATGCGAACCCTGCGACTGGGGCCCTCCGTGGAGCTCACCATGGGCCCACGAAACGTGTGACGGGTGTGCCGAAATTCGCGCGGTGGTGCCATGCGAGCGCAGCCACTGGGGCCCTCGGTGGAGCTCCCATTGGGGCCCCGAAACGTGTGAGGGGTGTGCCCAAACAGAGACATGTGGAGGGCAGAGGCAAGGAGGGGGAGGAGGGAGGAGGGGGAGGGGGAGGAGGAGGAAGAGGAGGAGGAGGAGGAGGAGGAGGAGGAGGAGGAGAGGAATGCGGGGCGCTGCCTTTTCAAAACGAGGATCCAACATCACAGGATGGTTGGGAGGAGACAATACAAATAAGCCTGGCGAAAGACCCAACCATATGCATATGTGCGTAACGCAATTGTGAGTATCGTTTTCGGTGGAGCTCCCTGTGGGGCCACAAACCGTGTGAGTGATGAACCGAAATGGGCGCGGTGGGCGCATGCGAACGCGTGTGAGGAGTGTGCCGACGTGAATGCAGAAGCGCCATGCGAGCCTTCGGTGGAAGTCGTAATGGGGCCACGAAACGCGTGAAGGTGTGCTGCAGTAGTTGCAGTGGCGCCATGCGAACCCTGCCACTGGGGCATCCAGTGGAGCTCCCGATGGGGCCACGAAACGTACAAGAGGTGTGCCGAAATGGCTGCGGTGGTGCCGTGCGAGCGCAGCCTCTGGGGCCCTCGGTGGAGCTCCTCATGGGGCCACGAAACGTGTGAGGGGTGCCGAAGTTCGCGCGGTGGTGCCATGCAAGCGCAACCACTGGGGCCCTCGGTGGAGCTCCCTATGGGGCCACGAAACGAGCAAGGGGTGTGTGCCGAAGTTGGCGCGGTGGTGCCATGCGAGCGCAGCCACTGGGGCCCTTGGTGGAGCTCCCCATGGGCCCACGAGACGTGTGAGGAGTGTGCCAAAATTGGCGCGGTGGTGCCATGCGAGCGCGGCCACTGGTGCCCCCGGTGGAGCTCCCTATAGGGCCACGAAACGTGTGACGGGTGTGCCGAAAAAGGGCGCGGTGGTGCCATGCAAGCGCAGCCACTGGGGCACTCGGTGGAGCTCCCTATGGGGCCACGAGACGTGTGAGGAGTGTGCCGAAATGGTTGACTTGTGCTGAGGGCAGAGGCAGGGATGCGAGGATGGGGAGGAGGGGGCAACGGAAGGAGGAGTGAGGTCACGCGGGGCGCTGTCTCGGACCCAACACCACTGGAGGGCTGGAAAATACACGTTGCCTCCAAATCTGGAGCATTCGCGGGCGCCCCGCGACCACTTTGCACTGGTTTCTAGTATAGACTGCGGGGGGGCCTCATATTGCTTGCTGCGGGCAAACCAAAAATCCGTTGACAACTTACAACACGAAATACATTTTGCTTCCAAATCTGGAGCATGCGCGGGCGCCCTCCGACCACTTCGCATTGGTTTTTGACCAGGACACGCGGTTTTTGACCAGGAGCGAGACGGCTTGTGCCTTGTGAGGTGGAGGTGTCTTGGCCATGCGTTCCCATGTGTGCGACCGGCAGCCTACCAGGACCAATGCCAACACCACACCCCCCTGCAGCAATCCCCACAAATCGCGCATACAACCAACCCTCAAAATTGTGGTGCTCAAGAGCTCCCTCCCGCCTTGCTGGCAAGCGGGCGTCGCTCAGACATGCGGCCCGCGATGCCGGGCAGGGAGGACGCTCGGGCCGCCCATCTCCCATCGACCTGCGGGGCATGGACAGGCGAGGCAGCAAAAGCCTCCTCCTCCTCCTCCTCCGCCTCATCATCATCATCATCATCATCATCATCCTCATCCTCATCCTCATCCTCATCCTCATCCTCATCCTCATCATCATCATCATCATCATCATCATCATCATCATCATCATCATCATCATCATCATCATCATCATCATCATCATCATCATCATCATCATCATCATCATCATCATCATCATCATCATCATCAGCATCATCATCATCATCAGCAGCAGCATCATCAGCGTCGTCGTGTTTGTTCTGTATCACTCTCCTTATCCTTCTCCTGCCGCTGATCGTTGTCACTGCTCCTTGCTCGTCCTTCTTCATCCTCCTCATGTTGCCTCATCCGTCGCTCTTGAACACTTAGGGGTTCATACTTCTGCCCCTAAGCAACTGGATGGGTCCGCCGAGGTTCTCGCCATGTTGCCAGCCGTAGGCGCCTCGATGCTGCCAATCGCGCTTGGAGGGTCCGCCGAGGTTTCGGCGCGTCGCCGCCCGTGGGCGCCCCGTTGCCGCCCACCGCGCTCGCGGTCCGCCGAGGGCTTCGCCACGCCGCCGCCCGCGAGCGACTCGTGGGCGCCCCGTGCGCTGGGTGGGTCCGCCAAGATTTCGACACGTTGCCGCCCGTGGGCGCCGCGTGGGGGCCGCGTGCGTACACCACACACATCTCCCACTGCACCCGTTGCACCGCAGCTTCCACAATCTAGCTCAAACCACGTATCTTGCACAAGCAAACTTGCACCTCGTAGCCCACATGATAGCGCACACCACATCGCTTGCACCACCTAGCTTACACCACATAGCTCACACCATTTATAAATTGCATTGCTTCTATTGCACCACCGATAATGCACTGCATGGCGTGCATCCCAAAGATCGCACAACATGGATTGCACCACAAAGGCTGCACGACATAGCTCACACCCCATAGTTCGCACCACCTAGGTTGCACCACATAGCTTGCGCCAAATCGCTCACACTACATAAACTGCACAGCCTGCACTAGCTTACACCACATAGCTCACACCGCACGGATCAGACCTCACAGATCGCACTACCTAGCTTACACATCCACCGTGCACCATCTCACTGTGCGGGGGTCACGCTGGCAAATCTTACTTTAACTAAACCCCCGCGGCACCACCAGACGTGTCGACAGGGCCGTCTGGGCCCTTCGCTTGAGACTTCCTCACCACTTACGATCCAGGGCTTGAACTTTCAGGCCGCTACACTGATGAAGAGCGGCTACTATTCAAAATGTGTCTGCCGCCTGCGTACATCGCACGTTAGACGTAAAAGCTTCCAGCCGTTACTCAGATGCGGGGTGACTTTCCTGTCGTATTAGCCACGCCGGTTATGACGATATCACTTGAGTATGGTGCTACCGAGTCACTTGGTTACGTTGCTACGACTTGATAATGCTGTTCTCACTTGGGTATGGTTGGCGGGCCATTGCTTACGCTTTTACCGCTTTACTGTTTGAAAGAAGTCTAGCAAACAAGGATGGATGGCAGCTCCTGTGCAAGATGGCACTCTCGTGTGAGGCGGTCTGAAAAATATGACCACCTCTGTCCAAGACGGGCAACCATTACAAAGATGGAGGGCGGCTCATTCCCAAAGACTGTGCTCCTGCTGGACACATCATTGATGTTCGAACTGGATTGTACTAGATCTGTTCATGCCATACGCCGAGCAATTAACAAGATGCAGGGCAATTCCTTATTCGAAAAAGGTGTTCTCGCCTGAACGGCATGTCCATGGGCCGTCCTTATTTCAAGCGGAGTGCGCCCAGCAGTGAAAGAATCCTTGTAGGCACATGTGAGGAAGGGATTTAGGCCGACACTGCAGGTTGCAATATCATTGTTGCATCCTGAGTGTGGTCTGGTCGGTCCTCCTTCTCCTTCTCGTCCTCCTCCTCCTCCTCCTCCTCCCCCTCCTCCTCCTCCTCCTCCTCCTCCTCCTCCTCCTCCTCCTCCTCCTCCTCCTCCTCCCCTCCCTGCACTTTATCCCTCGTAGTATTCGTAAATTTCCTCGTCCCCATCAACCATCGTCATCACCACCACCACAACCATCATTATCGATACGATGGCTCCCTATAGCCTCATCCGCCTCTACCGCCCTCCCATTCCCCACTAACACATTCGTTGTCCACATCGTCCTCCCTCTTCCCTAATGACCCCAATCCAGCTACTCCTCGCCCTGATCGAATCGTTGCTTTACCCTACTGCCCCATGGGCTGAAGACCTTCACGTAGGCCATGCGCTGCAGAGAGCGGCATGCAGCTTCCAGGGGCTGCCCCCTTGAGCCGTTCGGCGAGAGCGGACGACGACCCGAGGCAGGAAAGAGCGAAGGAGCAAAAGGGAGGAACGACCGAGCACAGGACGGGAAGACGGGGCGACGCGTGTCGACGGCGGCCCCCGCCGGGCCGACCGGCGCCCACCCCCCCCCCCAGCCGTGGCAGCGGGACCACCGAAGGGAAGAGTGCGAGGGAGGGGGTCGGCGGCCCCGGGAGCTCGGGGCCGCTGGGTCTCGACACGCTCGGCCCTCCGCGACCGAGGACCGTCAGCGGCGAGGGGGGAGAGAAGGAGGGAGGGAGGAAAGAAGAGGGGGGAAGGAAGGGAGAGAAGATGGGGTGAAAAGAGAAGAGGAGAAGGGGAAGGGAAGAGGGAGGGAGATGCTGCCCCCGACGACCGCGCCCCGTCCTTCGAGACACTCGTGCGCCACGAGGGAGAGACCGCGCACGGCTTGGTCATCCCTTTCCCGAGCTCCACGAAAATTCTCACGAACACGCTGAATGGCTTCCTCCCCCAGAAGCCGGTGACATGCAGGTCAGGTGTCGGCCCGACGGTCCACGCCGGCCGCTGGAGAGAAGTCGAGCGCGCGGCTCCGGCTGCTGATGCCTGCCGTCCTCAGCGCACACACGAGCGAGAAAGCCCCGCCCATCCCGGCGGCTTACTCCTGAGACGACGACGACGACGACGACGACGACGACGACGACGACGACGACGACGACGACGCCCACGACGCCGACGACGACGCCGACGACGACGACGACGACGACCCCGACGACGGCGACGCCGGGCGGCGGGGGTCGTCCCGTGGCTTCGGCCCAATGCTCCACCGAGTGCCTCGCGGAGGCGGGGTGCGGCGCCAGGCCTGAGCCCACAGCCTCCGCGAATGCAGGCCGAGGGCCTGCGCCACCATCTGCTGGCGCCGTGCCCAAGCATCGCGGCAGAGCACGTCAGACACATACGCACCGAGGCCGCCATATAACCCCAGGAAGCATTTAAGAAACCCCCCGGCGATATCGTAGCACCGCATTTTTTATTCGATATTCCGAAGGGCCGAAATAACCGAACGATAGCTGTGGCACCCGGACACGATGATAATGATGATGATGATGATGATGATGATGATGATGATGATGATGATGATGATGATGATGATGATGATGATGATGATGATGATGATGATGATGATGATGATGATGATGATGATGATGATGCGGATATGGATGATGGTGCGGAAGGGTTATCGATTTACCGGAGGAGGGGGGGGGTTCTTAAATGCTTCCTGGGGTTAGTTTGTGCATGTCTACGCGAGTTCAGGGGCTAGACCGGGACATTCGTGTTGCAATCTGGTGGCTTGCCGAGAGTCCCCCGCTGCGTTCTTGTTCGGATCTCGAGGACGTCTGGGGCTGGCAAGCGCCAGATGGAGGTGAGGACCCCTTGCTCCTGCCACAGGCTCATGGCCAGGGAGGCTGAAACAGCGATGCTCCTATGGCCCCGACAGACTCCTGGGACGCAAACGACAATGACATCCTCGCGTCGGGAAGAAGACACGACTGGAAGAGTTGGTTACTCTCGCCCTCCCAGAACCAGATCCCGGGGGGGCCTGTGGGAAGCCATGTTGTGAAAAAAACGACGTCGAATGTCTGGGGAGCTGGAAGTTCAATGGCAACTGCTGGGATGTATCCGTAAGAACGAACAAGGGCTGCTAGGCCCGATCAGGGAGCCACTAAGCCAGACCAGGCTGGGGTAAGCCCAGGGACAAGATTAAGCTGGACCAGCGAGATTTAGCGGGACGGGTCCGGAATAGGACGCTTATCGCCCGCGGAGGCCTCTCAGTACCACCCGGGTGAGCCTCGGGAAGGCCTGCGTGACTGAGACCATCCCCACCGTTCCCCACAATACTCGCTCGCTTGTACGGTTGTGTTCTGGAGCTCGGACGTTTGCAGTGTATTCCACAGCGGTGTTCTGCACTTCGGACATACTTGTTCGTTCGTTCGTGATCCTCTCCGCCTGCCCCTGGCCTGCCCCTTCTCAAGCCGTAGCCCTCGTTCTCTCTCGTGCAAGAAACAACGCACGCGCACCATCTGCTGATATCGAAGAGCGATGGACGAGGACGAGGAGGAGGAGGAGGAGGAGGAGGAGAAGGAGGAAGAGGAGGAGGACGAGGAGGACGAGGAGGACGAGGACAATGAGGAGGAGGAGACACCACGACGGTCTAGCTCGGCCCCCGTAAAAAAGGAGGAGGGAAAAAATCCGCCCGTCTGATTCGACCGAGAGGGTTCGCCCACCTGGCTCGCCCGATGAAGCCCGCCCGCCCGACCCGCCCATCGGGGCCCGCCGGGCCCCGATCTTGGACGCCCGACCATCCGCGTGAATGTCCCGCCCGCCCCGCCCGTTAGGGCCCACCCGCCCATTCCGTCCGATATGGTCCGCCCGCACGACCCGCCCTGCGGGCTGATTGCTCGAAGCCCGCCCGCCCGCTTAAACGATTTTCCCGCCCGACCCGCCAACCCGTCCTGCACATCAGGCTCCACCAGCTCGCACGCCTGACAGCAGCGACCTGCCTGTTTTCATGTCCCGCCCGCCCGTCCGACCAGTTCGCCCTAGAGATGTGCGCAGTGGGACTTGGAGCAAAAAACCTAGCGGCGCGAAGCGGGGCGACAAGACGGGATGAGAACGGACGGCGCGCCGAGAGAGCCTGGGAAAACGACCGCCTCTGGCAGGTCAAGCCAGGCCAGCGTGGAGGCGAGAAAAACGGATCGAGAGGCCGTCCAGAAACAGACTGGGCGCAACAAGGGACAGGCCGGCCAGCGGCCACGTGGAACATTTAGTCAGCGGCGGAGGGGGTCCTCGAGCGCGAGCAGCAGATGGAGGCGCGAATTGCGATCGAGCGTGATCGAAGGCGCATCGCGAGGGGCGTCAATCATCGACGAGCAGAACTGGGTGGCGGCTAGGACGGACTGTAGCAGAGCGAACGCACAGCGGTTAGAAGCCGACGAGCACGCCAGGGCGAGCTCCACGCAAGGTGAACTGAAGCGCGAGCAGTCTGGCACTAATTGCCACTGAATCATCGAGCGACCGATGCTGGTCAGCGGTGGTTAGCTGAGGCCGCCACACCAGCCGATTGGCGGGGTGGGACAGGCCAGGCGCAGGGAGAGGAGCGGGAAGACATCAAGACAGCGCGGTCCACGCGCTGAAAAGGCGGCGCGCGAGCGAGAGCGGCGCAGCAGCACCACGTACCAGACGACCGTCCAGGACGGAGCCGGGGGGGGATAAGCAGCGCGAGCGAGCAGCCGACCCGACCAGGGGGCAGGCGCGCGCGAGGAGGCCGCACGCATGACATCAAACCCAGATAAGCAAACGCCGCGCGAGAAGTCAGGCAGGCAGTTGCACCTGCGCCCGTGCAGCGGCAACGATGAGCGGAGGTCGACCACCCAACCACGGCTGCCATCGCATACAAAAATGGGAGAGGGCGAAATTGGCAAAGCCAGCGCGAGGAGACGCGCGGTCGCGCTGGAGCCGGCACGAAGCGAATCGGCCAACGCAGCAAACCGACGCCGTGCACTCAACCTACCCGACGCCGAAAATCCCCGCAGCTGGGAAAAATACAGCTGACCAGGATACACGTCCACAGAAGCAAACAGCCGAGTGCGAGCGACGCGCAGATGCTCGAACGGCAGCGCGGCGGCGCCGCCACTGGCGCAGACTCAACCCGCGGCACAAACGATCTGCAGCGGCCCTCTAGGAGAGCCCTAAAAACACGCAACAGTCATCCAGGAATGTCTCGGAGCTGTCAGCAGAGCCGAACTGATGGCGCGAGGCCGCCTAGGGCGGCAAAGTCGCGAGAAGGCACCAGGCGCACCTGGCAACGGGCGGGGCGCGCCACGTGCCACGCAAGCAGGGCGCAAAAAGAAGGCTGGCATCTTTGGCGGCCACGCCGCATGGGTAGTGAAAAGCGATGCAGGAGCGACGAAGTCGCGCTGTAAGAGACGCATTGGCTCCAACAAAAACAAAAAATGCACAGGCGCAACCAGGAGCGGGGGGAAAGTGGGAAGCACGGGGGAGGGGCGGCGCAAAAGCAACGACGCCAAGGCGGGAGGAGCCGCCGACGGCTGGCTCCACGGCCAGGGCGGACGAGCGCGGGCAGGGTAAAACCCACAGAACACTTCGGGGGTCTGCGGGGCGAGAGCGAACCCCCTCCGGTCAAAAACTAAGCGGGCTACGCACAACTCTAATTGGGAAGACAGAGCACAGGCGGGCGGGGCCTTAGGCGGCCAGAGGGCGGGTCGGGGCGCAGGCGGTGCCGAGGAGCCTGCACGGGACAAGGAACGCCTTGGACAGGAGCCGGAGGCGAAGATCCGGAGGGTGAGCGGCGCGGCGTTGCCGTCAACGGCGAATCGCAAACACCATCCTCAAGTGCTGCGCGAGGATGAACGCGACCAGGTCGACGTCCAGGAAGAAGTCCACCATGAAGGCGACGAGCAACGTTGCGCCACTGGATGGTGAGGAGGGGCCCAAGAGAAGAACAGGACCAGGAAGGCGATGTGCAGCATTGTGCCACCGGGTGGTCGGAAGCGGCCTAGGGCGGCACGTCCGGGGAGCAGCCAGCAAGAGGTGCGGCCAGAGACAGGGCCGCCCGTGTCCGACTGGATGTCGGCGGCGTCCAGGGAGGAAACCTGACCTGCACAGTCAGCGCGCGAAGACGGGCGGGTGCCACGCACGATGCGCTGACGACCGCGCGGCCGAGGGCCGGGCCTGAGCCGCGCTGCGCCAAGGCAAGCGGAGCCGCCGAGGCGGCAAGGTGCAGTGCCCAGCACCGGGCCGAAGCCGCGCCGCGCCTGCGCCGCTGCCACGGGGGGGGGGGGGAGCGAGCGGGGGGGGGGCGAAGCGAACAGGGAGGAGAAAGGCCGGCATCCCGCGCCAGCCGAAGTCGCGTCAGTTTGCACCGTAGGTGCTCACGTGGGGACA